TTTATTTACGCAGTCCACTTACCATAGTTAGGAATAAGATGAGTTTCAGACACATTTACTCAGTAGGCCCAAATCACACATTTAGTAAGGGCAGAACCCAGACATGAACTGGGTCCCCCACATTTCTGCCTTGTGGCCTTTCATCTTCCAGGAGGAGTATTTTTGGAAAGTCCTTACGGAAGACGGTCACTACCACTCTACCACTGTTCCCCTGGCTGGGAAAGCTAAGTGTTCAGTAAACCTCTGTTATCTTGAAACAAGGGTGAACCCAGGCTGCCTTTCAGCTCTTGTATATTTTGGGTGTGTGGATATGAACCAATGAGCTGCTTAGCAGATAGACTGTTAAAGAAGAGGTGGGGGTGTGCACCTGGGTGGCTCATTTGGTTAAGTGCCCGACTTCGGCTTGGGTCATGATCTCACAGTTCATGAGTTCAAGCCCTTGACAGCTCAGAGCCTAGAGTCTATTTCGGATTCTGTGTTTCCTCTCTCTGCCCTTCCCTCCCTCCCTCCCTCCCTCTCTCTCTCTCTGTCTCTCTCTCTCTCTCTCTCTCTCTCTCTGTCTCAAAAATAAATAAACATTAAAAAAGAAAAGAAAAAGAAGAGGTAGGGATTGATTCATGCCCTAATTCCTTTCCAACCTTTGGAAATTAATTTCACTGTAAGTGAAAATCAAAAAGTAATAAAATGTGTAACAAGCAAAGGTTGGAAACTGGAATGCCTTTTAGGAGCTAGCATAGTACACAGAACTCTTCTTTCCTGTTAAGAATTAACTGTCTCAGGGGTGCCGGGGTGGCTCAGTTGGTTAAGCGTCCAACTTCAGCTCAGGTCATGATCTTGTAGTTCATGAGTTCGAGCCCCATGTCGGGCTCTGTGCTGACAGCTCCGAGCCTGGAGCCTGCTTCTGATTCTGTGTCTCCCTCTCTCTCTGCTCCTCCCCCGCTTGTGCTCTGTCTCTCTCTCTTTCTCTCTCACTCTCAAAAATAAATAAACGAACAAAAAACTCAGATTTTTTCAGTTTTCTTAGAAACTTCTATATCTTAGAACAACACCATTCTTAATACAGCATAAACTCAAGTATATATGTGTACAGTTTGCTTTAAAGGAAGAACTGTCTAAGCCTGGTTTGTTCTCCCCTGTTTTAACTCTCAGGTGTAATTCTGAAACTCAAACATATAGATGTAACACAACCGCAGAAAAACAAAACAAAAAAAAATTATTCTTCCAAGCACCTCTTACTATTTAGGAATAACATGCTATGTAAATCGACTGTTGGGCGTGAATGAACATCACAGCTGGGAACCCAGAGCCCCATGCTTCATCAGTATACCTCCTGGTTTCTGGGAAGTAGATAAGGATTTTAGCAGAACCACAGCCTCAAATTTCCAACTGTCCACTAAAGCAAACAAGCGTCTATTGCCTAATCAACCATGTCCAGTTCAATCATGTATTACTGAGAGGATTAAATATAAAGGAACTTGACATCTGTCTCTGGTTTTAGCTGTATTCCCTTCCACAGCTCATTGTTGCCAGACATCACTTTACCAGAGACCATGCCGGTCAGTTCTTACTGCTGCCACGCAGAAGGTGGAGTTTAATTAGTTTATAGGAAACTACAGAACTGACAAAGACAAAAGCAAAATTCACAAAGAGCGGAGCAATGTATATATGTCTCATTCCTGCTTACTCTTCATTCTAGTTCTTAATAATAGAAGTTCAATTTACAGCAAAGTCCAGGAATAAGGCACTATTAGAAAAAATATTCTGTTCACTGAAAATGTTTAAGATGCAACTAAAAGAAAATGTGTTCTGTCATGATACATGATGTACTTAAATTGCAGATAGGTTGTGTTCTAAAAATTAATTTGTGAGGTGGATCGGCCAATACCCATTTTGGTGCAGCCACATTTCTCATAGGTTTTACCTGCAATTCAAGGAAAAAATTCCAGTGTAAGTATCTTATGAGTACTTGGGCTCTCATATCTCCTTAAAGAAGCCTACTTATGTTAGAATTCTAGTGCCTAGAATTCTAGAATTTTCTAGAGAAAGTGCTTCCTCTCTTGCCAGGTGTAATTGCCCTATTGGTCATGGCAGGTTATTCTCCTGTTTCTTGGGTACTTCTTACCTGACTCTTTTGCAGGGTCTAGATGTGTAATTCTGCAACATTTGATCTCAGGCTACCTTCTCTTTTCTCTTTACATCACCTGCCTGTTCAGCCTTGTCCACATCCATGCTGCAAGTACCATCTGCGTTCTGACAGCTTCTCTCCTGGACATCTTCACAGACCCATCCATAGTATCTCCACTGTATTTCTCTAAGTCACCCCAGACTCAGCGCATCCAAAATATCTGTCTTCTCTCCAAAATCTGGATTTTGTCCATGTCCCACCCACCCCAAGTCAAAGAATGGTTCCACTGTCTGTCCAGATGTGTAGGTCAGAAATCTCAGGGTCGTTTTGGCATGAGCCTTCCCTCATCCCTCATGTCCCTACCAGCCGTTGATTTTACCTCCTAATCTGCCCATTTGTCTCCAGTACTCTCTGGACATTGTGCTCTTCCTTGCCACAGGGCTTTTGCTAGTGCTATCTGTTGGGGCAAAAAATCTCTCACCTGAGCTTTCATTTTTTTAAAAAAGGAAGTCATCTGCTGGAGTCACCGATTTATTGATTCACTCAGGCCTGGAGGCAGAAGAGTATACAGGAGAGTTTTGAAGCTCTTCTGTTAAATATCAGGGAGAAAGCGTTTTCCTGTGGCAGCTAGGATTCATGGCTATATTACAAAAGCAATAGCTTTAGTCCACATGTCTCAAAGACAACTTCTTTAAAAAAAATAATCCAGGGGTGCCTGAGTGGCTCAGTCAGCTAAGTGTCCAACTTCAGCTCAGGTCATGACCTTAAAGTTTGTGGGTTTGAGCCCTGCATCAGGCTCTGTGCTGAATGCTTGCTCAGAGCCTAGGGCCTGCTTCAGATTCTGTGTCTCCCTCTCTCTCCGCCCCTCCCCTGCTCATGCTCAGTCTCTCTACCTTAAAATAAATAAATAAATAAATAAAAACTGTATACATTGTATGTTAGCCAACTTGACCATAAATTTTATTTAAAAAAATAAAAAATAAATTTAAACTTGAAAATTAAAAAAAATAATCTAGCAAGGACAGTTTTGTAGTTCATGCAAAAGAAGGTTATTACAAGACAGAATTGATGACACAGGGCTCACTGATCAGAAGAATCCTGTCTCCATACTCACCTGGGTCTGTAACCTCTTAACCTTACAAGAGTATTTCACCAGCAGCCTTTTAGGAAGTTTTCAGATCGAATTCTGTGAGCCACATCTGAATAATACAATATAGAAAATCATAGATTTTCAAGTTCAAGGGGGTTATAATTTTCCGGCTCGTCATTTTCCTTCTGCTCTTGCCCCTTCCTCTGCCGAGAAATCTCCTGCTCATGCGTCAGAGCTCAGCTCTAGTGTCCGTCCTCCAGAAAGCCTTTCCCAGCTCCTAGCCCTACATCAGGCTCCTTGTAGAACATTCCAGAGAATCGCGGTTTTTTTTTTTT